GTCACTAACGTGGCCCTTTTTACATACTGTTAGGGACCAATTTGGTCCTTTTTTATTGCCAGGGACTAAAAAAGATTTCGTAGATATTGCCAGGGACCAAAAAGAGTGTTTACTCTTAACTAATTATGATGACCTTGAACTCTTGAAGTTTCATACATAAACGAAATTATTTTACTAAATGGGTTTTATAATTCTCATTTAATATGAGAATTCAAATTTTCCTACACACCCTTCGATTTCCGTGCTGACATGGGTCCTACATATAATTTTTTCTAACACATGGGTTCCACATGCTTTTTATCTCTACAACATGAGAATTGAATTCTCATTTAACATGAGAAAATCAAATCTGATAAACCTTTAGTTTATCTTGTTTAATGGACTAAAATAATATGAATTATCTAGTTGAACAAGTCAAAAATTAGGGTTTTAAAATGATAATCATGAACATTATCTGATTGTTGGAACTAAATAACATATTTGCTATTTTTGAAGGGATTTGATAACAAATGGATTCAAATATGAAGATTTAGATAAAGGGAGATCAAATCAGAAAATATATGGATAGATGGAAAGCAAAACAAAAAGATTTGAAGATCTTATCAAGATTCCCAAGTTGTTAGAAGAGGGAGCTTAAGCCCCCATTCAGAAGCTTAAACTCCCTAAAAACGCAAATAGCTACTGCCTGCCTCTGGGCGCTTAAGCCTCCAACTAAGGGCTTAAGCGCGCCACAAGAAGAAAGGTTTGTCGCGAGGAGCGCGCTTAAGCGCCCTCCATCGCGCTTAAGCGCGCAACGCGAATCTAAAATCACCGTTCTAGGGCGCTTAAGCGCGCTACAGCGCGCTTAAGCGCCCCGAAAAGATCCAACTTAGGCCCATTCGAGTTTTCTACTAGGATACGAACTCTTGGCCAATAAAAGGGCCATTGGGGACCAGAAATACATAACTTTCACATCACAAAACAATTCTGGACGCTTGGAGGCTGAAGGAACGTGGAGAAACATCAAATTCATGTTCGTGAGCGGCGGAGACGGATCAACGTCAAGTGTTCACTGGAGATATTGAAGATCCACCAATTACCTATGGAGTTTGGGGGAGCTTTTATAGTTTCTTTTTTTCTTAACTTTGCTATGTCTGGCTAATTCTTTAAGTAGTTAGGGTTAGATGGATTTTAGTCGATTTATTATGTTTTGAACAATTCGCTGTGTTAATTTTCTTTTATATCATGAATGAAGTTATCTGTTTTTAATGCTTTATATAGGCTTGAATCTTATATACTGATCGATCATCGGTGAATGCATGACAATAGGAATGTTGGTGTGTGATCCATATCTGATAACTTCATCGTAAACGCTATGATTCTAGGGATAGACATAGGGTTTGCGTAATCTTTAAGATTCTTGAACTTAATGCTTGCATGCTTGGGGAATAACCGGGGAATTAGGGTTCTTCCAATATTGTAAAGGTTTTAGAGTAACAAGGGATTGAGCTCTAATAACATGCGAAAGAATTGATTAGATTGATACTAAGGACAATTAACATTAAGAAGGAATTCAAACGTAATAAGGAGATTAAATGAAATCGAACCCCTAGCTACGTTCTTTTACATTCTTAAATCACATCTTTAATTCCAGGTCTTTAATTCTTGCAAGTAATTAGCTTTAATATTTAATATTTTAATTTTGCAATTCAAATCTTGTTTCCAAATACACTTTTGATTGTCCAACTTAAGTTACGATAGTGAATTGGTGCTTGAACCATAATCCTCGTGGGAACGATCTCTTACTTAATCATTATATTACTTGTACGATTGGTGCACTCACCGCGAGTAGCCCAACAAAATACCTTACTAAATACACGACAAGGCAATTCCCATGCCCACCGCGTTCATGTAGTAGTGTCCTTTTATGAAAAAAGGTTATCTATATACATTAATTTATTCATTGTTTTTTTGTCAAGTGCAAATTAAGATGCGGTCTACTAATTAATTGAATGGCAAGCAATTTAATCAACATCAACACCGGGTTCTATTCCACCTGATTGGCCTTTTTATTAGAGGTGTTCGCGGTATGGATTGGATCGGTTTTGGAAGCAAAAATCATTCGATCCAATATCTGCGGTTTGATCATTTAATTATCCATTCGATTTGTATTTTTTTTCAAATCCGATCCGATCCAATCCAATTTTTTCGGTTTGGATTGGATCGATTTTTGGTTTTTTTAAAATCCTAAAATTTGTTTCATGATTATTGTGCAAATAACATCTTTTGTATATATTGCCTTTGTACATTTTTTTTTGAAATAAAAAAACATCACTAAACGATAATATAGTTTTTTTTTTGCAATGAGATATGAAGCTCTACACAGATGAAATTTTGTTGATGAAATGTGATTAGATTTTTTCTTGGGTGTAGTTGATGGGTTAATAGGTCTTGAGTTTAGAAAGTTTTAAGCTATGATTGAGGAAAAGTCCAAGTAGATAGAAGAAAATTAATATATTGGATCGGTTTAGATTGGATCGGTTTTCTTCAATCCATCCGAAAACCGATCCAATCCAATTAAAATTTGCGGTTTTTTTTCGGTTTTTAATTTTTCAGTTTTTGGTTTATTTAGTTATCAATTTTTCGGTTCGGTTACCGCAATTTGAATCGGTTTGGATCGGTTAATGAACAGTGCTCTTTATATTAACATTAACGTAATAGTTCTGATTTATGCTCTCTCCCAAAGGAAGAAAAGAGACACACACCACGTACGTACATAGAATCTAGTACTGGGGGTAGCAGAAAATCGCCTCATGTATTAGGGTTAACCAAACTCCCAGGCTCTCCCCCCGTCCCCCACCCCAAACACACACACACACAACAAAACAAAACAAGGGTAAAGCCCATTATACAGGACAGAACCTGGAGAAGGAAGCTCCGGCAATAATTCGCCCACAACTTCGACTGGTCCGTTTCATTAAAAAAGTTATATTTGTATGTTAAAATACCCACATTTGTTTTACATTTTTCTTATCTAAAAAGAATGAATAAAGTTTGTATTCAATGTGGACTTTTCTTATTTTATTAACTACAATAAAAATAATATAAAAAAAGTGTATAAATAAACGTTGCCGAATAAAAAAGATGGTGAGTTAATTAATTATTTAATAATCCATGCCACTGACCCAGCGAGCAGCAAATTTCTTCCCTCCAGATTTTTTTTATAATAAGGTTAAAATTCATCAAAATAAATAAATAAATAATAGAGATTGACCGTTACCAGAACCGTTTTTTAATTAGCCGTTAATTTGAGAATATTAATTGAGGAGGAGAAATTTTTGCTACTTGTTGTAGTTCTTCATCCTTCTTTTGGATCTTTGAATCTTTGATCGATTGGAAGTGTGTTGAAATTAAAAAATCAAACCGGACATAATTCAATCAGTTAACATAAATATAAATTTAATTAAGAATTAAGTTCAATTATAGAAATAAGGGAAAACTTCAAAAAATTTCCTATGAGTTTTGTCAATTATCACTTATCCCCTCACAAATTTTTTGAATCATTTACATCTTTATTTAGATTTTTTTATCACTTACCTCCTGACTTAAAGTTTCTTTATCACTTACCCGATATGGTAAATGATAAAAAAAAATTAAGTCAGGATAAATGATTCAAAATTTTAGGGAGGAGGTAAATGATTATGAAAAAGTTACAAGATTTTTTTGAAGTTTCCCCTAGAAATAATTGTCAACATAAACAAAATAATTAAAAAAATATAAATTAATTTTTATATAAACATAGATATAATTTTTTTATATACTGACGTCAGTATATATATAATTTCGTAAATTTAAAAGAATAAATAAACATCATTCATTATTAGTTATATTCTCAATCCATGCCATCATTACTTTTACTCGATGTATTTATATCCTTTAGTTGATGATCAAGTGTGTTTGTTGTTGCGTAAAACATGAATTAAATAGCCTGATTTCCAAAAAATAAAATAAAAAATATTGGTCAGTAGGTTATTAAGCATATACACGAAGTGAAAGGCTTGCGGCTCTTGCAAATTAAATACTATAATTTGAATTAGGTAGGATATATATATATATATATATATATAGATAGATGCATGATCCTTTGACACTCCATCTGATAGGATCCTTTGACACATGTGTCAAATTTGAAGTTTGACACCTCATATGAGAACCATTAGATCATAAAAGATCAACGGTGTCACATGCTTACAAATCAGAGCCATTGATCTTTTTTGATCTAATGGCTATCAGATGGAGTGTCAAATTTCAAATTTGACACCAGTGTCAAAGGATCCTGCCTATATATATATATATATATATATCATGACATCAAAATGATCAAATATTACCTACAAAAACACTTGGCATGCGAGTCGCTTTTATTTTTTTTACACAAGACCAGAGTTGAAATTTTAAAATAATAATAATTGTTAAGGAGAATTTCCATACAGTTTTATATGAATGGATGCACAGTGAAAGCCAAAAGAAAGAAGAAAAAAAGGCAAAAAAAAAAAAAGGTTCAAAGTTCAAACATCAAACTCAAGTTGCAGACTCAAGTTGTATATAGTGCATATATTATGTTATAATAAGCAGTCAAGGTAGAACCGGTAAGTAGTCATATCCTCTCTCTCTCTCTCTCTCTCGCATATCATAATTGTCGAGACTCGAGACGCGAGCAATGACGCGCACCCCAACTATTCTGCCGCACACAATCCCACCCATAAACAAAACCCTAATTAGCTAATTCCCAATACCACCTCCTTTCTTCCACTTTTTTCTCTTTTCTTTTTTGTTGTATTCAACTTAGAAGAACCCTTAATTACCTTCCCCACAAGTACCTCATAAACCAACACCAACACTCTATTATTGGCTTACTAATTGATCTACATATATATAGTTGTTTTTCTATTTTATATTAATTCATTATCTTTTTCAATATATTGCAAGTGTTCGAGTCTACTCGATCATCTTCAACAATCATGGCGAACCGGTGGTGGACCGACTCGGTGGGTCTGGCCGGGGTTGACTACTCTTCCCCCGTCAAAAAACCGGATCTGGGTTTCTCCATGAACGATACTGCATCTTTAGCAACTGTGAACCACGGTAGTGAAGGTAAAGATGAAGAAGGAGAGGAGAAAGAAAACAGCGACGATCCCAAAGAGGTGGCCACCACGCGCAGGCCCAGGGGTCGCCCCGCGGGCTCCAAGAACAAGCCCAAACCGCCGGTGATTGTGACCAGAGACAGCCCTAACGCACTCCGAAGCCATGTCATGGAGATAGCTAACGGAACTGACATCGCTGATAGCTTGATTCAATTCGCAAGAAGGCGACAAAGAGGTGTCTGCGTTCTCAGCGCCACCGGCACAGTCACCAACGTCACTCTCCGACAGCCGACGTCCCCCGGCGCCGTCATGGCACTTCACGGCCGGTTTGACATAATATCATTGACCGGTTCGTTTCTTCCTGGACCGTCCCCACCGGGCTCGACCGGGCTAACCGTTTACATCGGCGGAGCTCAGGGACAAGTTGTGGGCGGTGGGGTGGTGGGTCCGCTGGTGGCATCAGGAATGGTTATGATAATGGCGGCTACGTTTTCGAATGCTGTATACGAGAGATTACCCATTGAGGATGAAGATCAAGAAGAAGCCCATGGGCCAGGTCGAGAGGGTTCGTCTTCGGTCTATAATGGGCAACAGTTGAACCACGAAGCTTTTTCTCCTTGGTCTCATGGTCATGGCAGGCCACCTTATTGAATTTTCAATACATCAACTTGAGCTAATAATAATTCACTGATCAATCCTTCCTACTATAGTTGTTGATCCATGTACGTGGTAGTTCAATTCGAACTTTCTCTTATCCTTTCTCAAAAGTTTTTTCAGTAAGTTAATTAATCATATATAGACTCGTCGATCTGTATATTTCAGCTAGAGCAATAACTTATATCATCTAATCTTCACATTAATATACTTATAGCAATACATGTGACTGTGATCTAGCTAATCTCTTGCTTCTTTCTATACTATCATGTTAGTGATGTCAAGAAGCTGGGTTTTTGTTTAATCTCTGAATTTTGACCTAATTGTATGAGTATTTTAACTCGTTCTCATAAATTAACTGGTTAAAGTGTATCACATTATCTACAAAACAAAGGCTTTAAGCATATCCCATGTACATTTATATATTTATTTCGTATCTGTTGGAGCTGTATTATTTTCCCTGGTAAACGAGCTGAAAATGATTATGTCATGTTGATTTTTGTTATATAAATGGATTACGAATAAGAAATTGGAAGAGTCATGTCTCCTCGCCTTGAATAGTCATATCTCTTCGCTTGTGAACAGTCACGTTCACTCTCAAATAGTCGTGCCTCTTCGTTTCTGAATAATCATGACTCTTCACCTTGTGACCGTTCATCTTCTATATATACATATGTCCAATAAATCCAAATAACCAAGTTTTCTTAATCCTTTCCCAAAACTCTGCCAAAAATAATCCCCACATATTGTTTTTGTTTGCAATTGGTCAACGTTCGTTTGTTGTGTATACCAATATTGTTTCTTAAGAAGTGACACGTTATATATTGGGAGACATTTGTCCACGAATCTTAGACACCGTTAAGGGAGCAAAATTTTCTTAAGAACACAATATCTAATACTGGACTCGTATTTAATTTTCTTCAATTTTTTATGCCCTACATGTTGCAATCTGATTTTGTGTGATTACATATAATTTTGAGTTTTCACTGATATCACTCAAACCAATAACACAGATTTTTTATACTACCAACAATAATAATTTTAATTAAATTTATATAGAAAAGTAAACGATAAGTACTGCAAAAACATATTATAATTTTTAGATATTTTACACTCATATAAATAATGTTAACATGTGAATCACTAGCCTGAATACAATCTCTTCTACGTTTATATATGATTATGATGTAAAACTAGGTGTAGTCTCAATACTACATCATATTGTATAGCGATTTCGAGAGAACCTCAAATGTCATCAAAATAATGAAGACAGCATAGGTTGTCTGTGTTGATACTGTATCCGCTTCTTTCTATAATCTTTTGCTTCTTTCTATAATCTATTATCAGCAAAGTCATAGTTTTATAACATTCTCACTAAGGTAATTACAATGTGGTACTTCCTCTTCATGCATGGTGAAAGTGAAACACAGTCAATTACTAGATTTTTCCAGACCTATACTAGAAAAATCCTGTATAGCGAGGGAATTGCTATACAAATTTCGTCGCTAATTTCGTCATCGTCACTACTTTTCCTCGCAAATTCCCTTGCAAAATCGTTTGCGAGGGAATTTGCGAGGAAAAGTAGTAGCGAGGATGGAATTAGCGACGGAATTTGCATAGCAATTCCCTCGCTATACATGATTTTTCTAGTCCCTAAACGGTGATTGGTATAAGTCACAAGTATTATGACTAGCAAACTCTTCAAAACAAACTTGAGTTCAGTAACTTTTGAAGCATTTTGTACAATTCATTAAACATTCTTACTGTGTGTGTGTGTGTGCGAACGCAAAATTACTTTAGGGTCAGGATCGGTGAACTTGATTTATATAAAAGTATTGTTTTCTTGACACTCAAAGGATCCAAGAGTAATTCAATCGAACATGGAGGACCCAATTCACATGGGATTCACATGTCAATGTTTGGAAACACTAATTATTCAGCTGCTGACTCCCATACAACATTCCAATCGTAAAGTAGTTATATATGCTTTAATTAAAATAAGACTTTATTTATTGACTTACCAACGAATCCTTTATCCTATTTAATTTATTTATTAGTACTTTTTTTTTTTATTTGTGGAGTTTTGCCTACAGTCACAAGGCCTAGTGACCTTTATCTTTAATTAAAAGTCGAATAACCCAACTATTAATTGATAATACTTTAATCAATCCATAGCATAGCACAACTATTGATTACTAATACTTGATAGAGTACAAGCGTGACGAGTGTTATTTAATATAAAGTTGATAGAGGAATGTTATACTTACAACTTTTTTTTACAACCTCTTACAACCATATCTTTACATCGTTGATTTCCGCCAATCAACGATTATCATTTTCGCAAATTAAACTCATTAATTAATTATTAATTCACAATAAATGATAACTGTTGATTGGCGGAAATCAACGGTATTAAGATATAGTTATAAGAGATTATAAAATAAAAGTTGTAAGTATAACCTTCCTTAAGTTGATAACCCATAAAATAAGAATAGCATATGAGAGCTTTTTCATCCGTTTTGATTGTCAAAGTGCTCTATGCTTAAAATACTTTTAATAACCGCATGAACTTGCCGTGGATTAGACGGCTCAAGCAGCTGGGTATGCAGCTTTTAAAAGAGCGATATTCTTTTGCTAGAGCACCTAAAAAGTTGTAATTCAGTTCAGTTGCCAATGACAGATGCATTCTTCATATGGAGTAAAATTGTCCAAAATCAGAGTCATTTTTGTAGCAACTCTACTGATTTGGCTTTATTTGGTTCGGGTCAAGTCAAGCTGCCAATCTGTCGTATCAATGTCCAAATTCAATATACTTCCAAACTTTAGAGTCCTTGAATTGAACAGGGAAAAATTTTAAATGCTACATATCGGTCTTTTTTTCAAAAACCAGAAATTTTTCATATCATTTAAATCCTTATTTTTTGGTTTATTTTCTTGCATATCCCGATCGTTTTCTATTTTAGATAATGATGTATACTCACAGCTTACCACCGAAGATTCACTCCTTGAAGTGGTCGCGTGGCGAACCTGAATTCTTTATACTAGAAACTGAAAATAAAATTTAAAATTTTAAGATTAGATAATAATATAAATTCTTAAAAAGATTATCACCCAATATTTAAGATTTTGAGTTGAAATAATTTTTTATATGATATTAAAGTTTCAATGACCACAATATCACAATCACGATCCTCGTCCCTAACTTTCTAGTGAAATTAAAATAAGCACAAAGTAAACAAAAAGTGGACCTGTATAATATCTACGTTTCAAACCCAAAAGCTCTTCATGAGAGAGTGCATTAGAGAATAATATAAATCGTTAAAAAGATACTCACCCGACACCTTAAGATGTTAGGTTAAAATGATTCTTTATATTTAGTATTATTAAGACTAATAAAAATATTAATTATATAAGAAAATTTGAGAGAGGAAAAAACTATTAATATTAATCGCCAATAACTATTAAAATTAATATTTTTTATATATAAAACAAAAAAAAAATATTTCAAAGAGGAGCGGCCATCAATGCCCGTCCGTCCCTCTTTTGATTCATCCCTACTTTTAAATATGTTTTTTAAAATTTTTAAAATATAATTTTCACGCATATATATATATATATATATATATATATTAAAAAGTTAATGTTTATCTTAAAAAATACTAACATATTTTATTATTATTTTTAGCTAATTTTTTTTCTTTAAAAAAGCCCTTGATTAACTAGAATGAGATTATAAGAACTATAAAAAGTATGCGAGTTATTTTTTTAAACATATTTCAATTATCTCTTTGAGACGAGTAAATTTTTTTCCATATCTTGGTAAACTTCATTTTTTAATGTGACTAATGTTGATTACGAGATGAGTCAAAAATAAAAATTTTAAACCCTTTTCCAAACATAACGTGTGGAGATCATCAAATCAAAATCTTTTTCTTTTCACTCACCTCCCATGCACTAAGTTACCGCCATTTGGTGTACCCAAGTTACTTTTAGAGGCAACGATTTGAGCAACTAAATTAACAATGTGCCGCTTTTCAGAGCATCTACGGTGTCGTTTGCTTATTAATTCTACAGTAGAACCTGCACTTGTTCAAGTACAGAAGATGGCCAGCGGTGGCAAATGACAATGAAGATGAGTTGGGGATAAAGGGTATTTTTGTGACTTAATCACTCCATGAAAGTGGAGTGAAAATTATTTATCTATTTGTTGGACTACTTGAGCTACTTAGGGGACTAATCCAGAGTTTGGGTACGAGTTCAAGGATTACGGTACTTATGTGTTGGTGGGATTCGAACCTCTCCCACCACTCAGTTCCCATGCTACCAACTAAGCCCCCGCACTTGGGTAATTTTTTTTCTCTTTTTTTTTTTTGAAAAGCAAACAGGAAACATAAAAACAAAAAAAGAAACTAGGAACACCTCCTAGACCAAACTACTCCTACATAGTCCCTTTTTCTCACTTCAAACATAATATGAGCTTCTCATGTTTTTCTCACTTCAAATATATTAAAACAGCAAAAAATTGTAGTGTTTCGTAAATAACTATGTAATTTAAACAATTATTAATTACGCATTATATAACTGAAATGGTATTAAATATTTGAATTTTTTCTATAAAAAAAAAAATCAATCATCGAATGATGAAAATGATGTCAATTTTTTTTAATATGGCATTTTATTGATGATATTAATTGTTATTTGATTCAACAAATTTAATATCAATTTGTAGAATAATAATAATTGTATTATTTGCATTCCTAATTATGAGATATTAAATATTATTAATGATGTTAATTAATATTTTTGTGATGTGAGAAAATAAATTAGACAATGAAAAAATGTGAAAGGAGGACAATGATACTGTCACGTGATAATTTAGTTAAACTGGCCCCTAATAGTGTGATGTATTACAGTAAATGGGTGCCCCTCTACGTTTGGATAATTTTATTTTTTTTAGTGGATACTTTTTATTATTTTTGTTATTTTGGTCAAAAAGTCATATATATATATATATATATATATATATATATATATATACATATATTTCTTTAAGTATTTTTTTTCACATTATTTTGTACATGATGTTATAATTAATTTTCAAAATTTAAAAGTATTCAAACATATTAATTTATATAATATCAAATTATTCAATAGCCAAAAACTGGATTGGGAGTCAAAATGTGGACGTTGGATGATGAGAACACGTTAGTGCCTCACCTCACCCACGTTGGTAGTCAGTGAGTGTGAATAATACCCTCATCCCATTCAACGTTACAACTTCTCAAAAGGCGTTTACATAACGTCCCTCACTCAATCCACCCAACATTTAACAAAGTTATGCTTGAATCTCGTATCTTTTTTGGTCCCTAACAAAAAAAACACGGTCTTCACTTTAGTCTCTTACAAAAATAAATTAGTCAGTTAGTCCCTAACAAATTTAAAGTAGGCCCATTTAGTTGAAATTGTAGTCCCTCACAAATTCAAAAAAAAAAGTCCCTCAAAAGGACCAAAATAGGTCAATTTGTTATGGACTAACTGACTAATTTATTTTTGTAAGGGACTAAAGTGAGAACCGCATTTTTTGTTAGCGACTGTTTACTCTTATTCTTAATTTAACGAGTGGAGTGCGAGTGCCTATCTACGGGGTCACTTTGCACGAATATGACTGTAACCTTCATGTTAACAAAATATAGTTTGTGGTGTTTTCCGGCCCCTCTGTTTTTTTCTAAATAATCTTCATTATATAGCTGAAACCAACGACTAAAGAACAAGCCTAGAATTTCTTCCGAATTCAAATAACACATCAGCAGAGATTATTGACAAATGACAACTAACTCAGGGTAGACTTCTGCATATTTTGCCACTTTAAAACCTGAACATTCTGAAAAATTCAATGAGTTTGAGTAATAATATTTTTAATAAGCTTCCACTTGTAATTTACATAATCTTAGGATGCGAAAGTCGTCCAACCATTAGTTGATTAAAGGGCAGTAAATCCAAAATCTACATAACCCATTTTTGAGTTTATATGTGTATATCAAAGTAGCAACCCATTAGCGGGTACATCTACATAGTAGCAACCCATTTGTTAAATTGGGACTCTGTTGTAACAAACCCATAGTGAACAAATCTTTTCCAGTTTGGAAAGTTTTTTTCCATTTCAATTCAGCTTTTAATTTATATATTTCCATTTAAGTTCCACGTTTTATTTTATTTTTGATAGAATGCACCTAAATCCTGCGCCAAAAATTTGTTCTTACATAAGATAGCTTGCGGAAGGATTAGAGGTATGGAATTTTATTCAGAATCTTCTCCCAAAAAACAGAGATCTACTAACGTAGCACATTAGACGTGTCCCAAAAAAGTAAGTCAAAAAGAGTTGAAAGAAGTATGTGAAAGAAAGAGAAACACATACAAAAATCATAACTCTACAAGCTTATGTCGCCTCTCTTTTTTTTGGTAAATTTACAAGCTTATGTCTTTAAGAAAGAGGTCATCTGCTGACAAGTCTGCCTCACCCTTTTGAAGCTCACATTCTCATATTTAACTTTAAAAAAAAAAAACTCACGGGTTTCCACATTTACACGCATTCTCGCTTCCTTGTGAAATAATGTTTGCTGCACATCTTAGAAAACATCACCTCATACTAGAGTGGTGTGGCTATATCAGAAAATCAGTATGCATTTAGCAAAGTAAGAACAATTGTAATCAAATAGTAAAAGCTATTCAGATATTAAGTGATATATGCATAGCATTATGCCATGGATAACATGCCTGCAAAATTGAAACATCGTATCAATTCTACAACTTTATTGACTTTACTTTTACACAATAAAAATAACTACTTTCAAAACTCTACATTCACAATTGTGTAACATATGCTCAAAAAACACTTTTAATTCATAGTTTTGTCACATTCTAAAGATCCATTTATCACATAAATATCTGCAAGAAATTATATGCATTTTTCGGAAATTTATATTTTCATCTTTCCCTGTTCAATGGTGGCACAATACACCTTGTAGAAAGCCATAATTCATCCATCATATGGCAAAAGGATTAAACAGGAAAATGGTTAGCAAAATGAACCTAGTATATTTAGTATGTTAGAAATTCCAGGTTCTCTGTCAAAATGTCGAAGTAATGAATTTTGAGGAACCAAAGAAATTTGAGATACTTAAAATTGTTTTCACAATTTTTCACCTGTACGTCGCAGGACCGTTCCAAGTTCATCTTCTATCTCATGAAGGAGGATAGGTTTTTGAATCAATCCATGCATTCCCACCTGTATGCATTTCTCCTTCAAGTTTTCTTCTGCACTTGCTGTAAGAGCTATAATCAAGGGCCAATTACGGCTGTGGAATTTCCGAATCCTTCTTGCAACTTCAAAACCATCCATTTCAGGCATGTGAAGATCCAACAGGATAATTTTAAATGAGTTGCCAGAGGCACTTATAGCACCCAGGCACTCAAACCCTGATGAAACAGCAGTTACTTGACAACCCAGCTTCTCAAGCAGCTTCTTGGTCACAGTCCTGTTTACATCATCGTCGTCAGCTACTACAACCTTAAGCCCTCTAAACTGTGACTGTGAGTTCGAAAAATCTTTAGGAGCAAGAATGAATCTTCCAAGTGATGGTCCTATCTGAAACTTGAGAAGAAGTGTCATCCCTTGTGCCAAACCTAGAGAGTTTGGTGATATCCAGATATTACCTTGCATCATCTGCATATTATTCCGTACTGTACGGTCAGAATAGCAAAAAGCCAACCACACCATGAAGAACTAAACATATTACAGTATGTTTATCTCATCCAAACCACGATCAGCTATTAGACAATGGCAGAACAAAATTTGGTTTTAGGCAAAACATTCAAGTATACAGAACAAAATGCATGAACCTATTTCAATCTTTATTTATTTCCCTGACGCCTATGATGTTTGAATCCATAATTCCAACTACCTATGTTTAGCTCTCAAAAGGGTATATAATGTATCATAAGTGTTGGATAAACACGATAGGACCCTTCTATTATAGGGGAAAAGAAGCAACTGTAAAATTTTGTTAGACCAAAACGACAACATGTCTATGTCATTAATAAAAAGTTTAACAAGAAGATGGCTTCCTAATGTCAAGGAGATGACCAAAAAGTTTAACAAGACATTTATGTAAATCTACCAATATTGCAGACAATCATTTACTGACTTGTAATGCATGGACACCAAAATACATAGGACTGTAACTGTTGATGTCTTTAACCATTACAGAACCAGAATCCTTACCCACTAAAGCTAAACAAGGAATTCAACAGTAAGCAAGTTGTAGCATTCAAGCAACTATATTACAATGGATATTGGTCTCAACAACACTCCGCACGGGATTAGTTGCAGCATAGATTAAATATGGCTTTCTAAGCGAAGGCCACTTCTCTCATTTATTTCTTATTCTTAAATCTAATCTGACAATAATACCACTAAAATCTAATTTTTTATGACAGTTTCATCTCACATTTCCACCATCATAAACAATTCCCTATCGGAACATTCACTTATTCAAATAATCGAGGGTAACAGTAACTTTGTCAAAACAAGAACCGTCCTCTAAGCATAGAATGTAATTCTAAAGTTTACAGCCAAATTTGTCAACAATTTATAAAATTAATGCAGTAGCACAAAATTTCTCAAAAGAAAGAGAGGGGGGGGGGGGGGGGGGGGTGTTATTAATAAACACTTAAAACCTAAACATAAGAATTATCTACATAACTACTATGACTAAGACAAAATGATCCATAAATTTGAGAAAGATAACAATGCATGTACCTGCACCAGCGTTTTGCACATGCTGAAGCTCAGGCCCTCCTTAGTTTCATAGTTGTAGTGCCTCCTACCAACCTGATTTTTTGTTGAAATTGATTCATCTGAGTAGGAACTAATACCAGTTATCTGAAAATTAAATTTTACATACACATAATCATTTTGCATTCTTGATCTCCATATTCCAAAATTTTTATCATCCTTATCTCCATTATCACTTTCAAGAAAAACTCGAAAAATGAGAGTCCCTCTGTCATATATGTTCAATAAATAGCCAATCATATGCAGAATTACTTGAAAAGACCTTGCCTCATCACCCAAGACCAGATCAGGCAAAGACTTGTGGACATCAATTTCAAGACCAAAGCCTTTGTATACACACAAACACTTGGCTATGCAAGAAGCTTCCCTGATCATGGAATGTAGATGGAAAGGTTTCATCTCTAACCGGAAGTTTCCTTTGTCATTTGCAGAAATCTCCATTACATCATTAATCAAACTTGAGAGTGCATTGCTAACTTTCAACATTGTGTCAATAACAATCTTCTGTTCAGATCTTAAATTGTCCTCTTGAAACATTGAAAGTAAACCGAGGATTGAATGCATAGGTCTCCGCATTCCATGACTCATCACTTTCTGAAATGAGATCCTTGCCTGGCTGGCCATCATTGCATTCTTTTGAGCCTGTTGCAATGCCCGGTTTTGCTCTGCGAGTTTCTGGCTCATTAGCTGAGACTCTTCGAGAACGGACGCATGAGACAAGGCTACAGCCACCTGGTCAGCAACTACTTCCACTATCTCCATCTCATGGGAGGTCCAAACCCTGGAGTTTGAATTTGGAAGAACCAAAACCAGTATAGCATAAGATGTTTCAACCAACTCTGGTGTCCCTCCTTTGAAATTCGAAACATGAAGTATCGGCATGCGAATGGCCGCTACAGCACCCGAGTCCCCAGATCCACCACTACTTGCAGCTCCTAGTGCAGAATCAGGCCTCAAAAGCCGCACCCCCTTGCTCTTTCTTATCTCTAGTACATCCGGATCATTTATAGGAATAGAGCTGTGAAAATTCTTTGCTGATCTTTGTTTCAACTCATGAGTTAAATGCATTTCTCGCCTGTCCTCATCAGGCATCCAAACCGCACAATTATGCAAGTCCAAAGCCTTGGAAAGCTCAACAAGGGTGGTATACAATATGGTGTGCTTGTCCAGATACTTTCTAATCTCGCGGGTGAGCATCCTAACATGCCAGCTTGCTTCCTTTTGTTTCTTCATGATCCCAACCTCTTGGCCCAATTCCAAGACATTCTGCCTCAAGTAGAGCTCCCTCACTTTGATTTTCAGAAGAAGAGGAATCAGGGTGGGAAAGGTAATTGCAGTGGCACAGGAAACAAGAGCAGTAAAGAACTTAGCAACGGTGAGGGAGAGCAACAAGTGGAAGGAGTGAGGCCCGTAGTAAGTATAGGCATTGAGCAAATGGGTCATTCCGCAGAGGACTATGAAGGCAATAAACTGGAGGAAGACCAATTTGAATGGAACATTGGAGCAGCTAACGAAGTAAAGTAGTTCAATGGGTATGGAAAAATATGCAATGGCAATGAAAAAGTCGCTGACTTTTTGACAAACGAGGATGCTCTGTATACTCCAAAGCCCTTCCTCATCACAGTTGCACTGTGCATATTCAGCATCGATGCCAGAAACACAGCGCGACAGAGAATAAATCAAAAGCAAGAACAACAGAGGATGCCAGAAACCTCTTTCCAATTCCATAACAAAAAGTTACTAGTTTCCCAAACCATCCATCCAAGTTATCATCTTTTAAATCCCCAGAAGCTCAACCTCACATCACACTATCTGCTGTAGCTATGCACGGTGAACTGAACACTCTAGATCTAAACTAACTAAACTTCACAACTACTACACTAGTCTGTTCTTTCAAGTTTGGCCTTTCTAATCCCAATTAAATTTAAATAAATAAATAAACAAATAAATAATCTCCCTAATTTGCAGTTACAGTTATTATCCAATACAATAAGAAGAAGAAGAAGGGAAGCTCAAGGGTAGTAATAATAAGAAAAAGCAGAAGAAATCAGATAGAGAGTGATGCAGTGTAACCCATGTTTCAATCAATAATCTTCTTCCTTTGCAGTCACGGCTTTGTTTCTTCGATTTGATGCTCTTGGTGTTGGTGAATGAACTCACCCGAAAGCCCAACGGCGAATGATTCAATCTAAGAAGAAGAAGAAGAAGAAGAATTCAAAATTTTTTTTTTTTTTTATTTTGAATAGAAAAAATCAATTTGGCATAAAAAGTTTGAAGAAAGTGGGAAGAAAAGCGTTTTGTTTTGTTTGGTTTTTGCCTTCAAACTTCAAAGCAGGGAAAGAGGTGTGGGACCCATACTTCTTCACATTAACCGAACCTGGACTTCCCCTTTCTCTTTCTCTCACTTGTCACACCTTTACATGTAATAAATTAATAAATTTCACTACCCAACCCATCAATCAACTATTCTATAATAATTAAATTTTTACAAGTTATGATAGCATTATAATTATAATATTATATTACTCTCCAATTTTAGTTTCTTTCCTTTAAATGAGTTTATTCATGATATTTTAAGAGTATTTGATAGAGAGAAAAAAAATTTATTATCTAGAAATCTTGATCGTAAGAAATATGATAAAAAAAATTCAGTTTTACGATAATATTCAAAATTAAAAATTTAGAAAGATTTAATTTGCTGAAAATCTTAAAAAATACTGACTATCAAATTGCTTGCAAAACTCGAAAAATCTCTTTTATTATTTTCTTGCAGGTATATTCCGTGCTATATAAATATTTTAAATTTTAGTAAAATATAATTTATAAATAACTTAATTAAAATGATAAAAACTGTAAATAATTAATTCAGAAGAATATAAAATTTCAATTTCAAGATTGAAAATTACACATATCACTTAGAAAATATATTAAAATTTTTATTATTCTCAAAGAGTAAGTTTTAATAGTAGTGTAATATATAAGAATCAATTATTTAAAAGTAGTAGTGTAATATAATTAACAAAAAAATAAAAATGAATAGAGTCCTGCCTTTCACTCCCACTTGAACATAAGTATTTTTATTCAACCAATTTAAAATTAAAGTAGAAAATAAAAAAATAATTGATTTAAATTTTTTAAATATAAACCTAAAAGAAAATCCAAAATTTTATGTAATTTTAAAAGATTATTTTATCTGCAAAGTTCTCGTATTACTTATATTCGTTTAGCGATTTTTTTATTATATTTTGAACCAAACTTAATTTCTTTTGTTATATTTAGACATATATTATTCAATTCACAATTAGTTCAAGATTTTATGAAAAATTAAATTTGTTATATTTTTTGATTGATTATTTAAGACTTGAATTTGATATATTTTGATGAGATTTTGTATAAAAAATTCCACATTCTCTTAAAAAGTACTCGGTTAGTATACTTATAAAACATGCAATATGTTTTATAAATTCTACAAAATCCATGGAAATTATTCCTCTTAGATGGGAACCTCCGAAGTCTAGTTAGATAAAAATAAATACTGATGAGGCGACTAAAAGTAATGATGGGGCTGCTTGTGGGGCTATTTTAAGAGATGAATCTGGTTACTAGCTTCATGGTTTGGCATGTTATGTTGGCCAGTGTTCAACTTTTGTGGCTGAATTATAATATGTTCTCAAGAGTCTTCTAGCTGCTTGGATTGGGGGTTGGAGACATTACATTTTAGAAAGTGATTCTAATTCAGTTATCACTTTGCTCACCAAAAATAGAAGAGCAGCTTGAGAGTTCAGATTGATGACTCGCATTCAAGCATTGTTACAGAAAGATTTGGGATGTTCAGCTTATTCATAACTATAGAGAAAGTAATAGCTATGCAGATTGACTATCTAAGTATCCACTGAACCATGTAATAGAGAATAATCTGTATATTTTTAACTTCCCTCCCCCTAATATTTTGCTACTGTATTTGACATATTTTTCTTTAGTCTATAATTTTCATAAAGTTATTTTAACTTGAGTCGGTCCCGGGGCTTTTCCCATTATGTTTACACAAAAAAAAAAAAAAAAAGTTTCAATATGAACATAAGTATTCAAACCCACTATGCATTCTACCCATTTCTCATTCCCCGTGAAGTTCTTTGTAGACTTTTTTTAAACTTCATCTTAACAGTGAATCCTTCCTTAAATTAAAAAAGCTATAAAAAAACCTTAACAATTAATCTAACTAATATGATTTGAATTACTTTTGGTTACATTGAATTATATTTATTTTTACTGTAAAATTGGTCAAATAATTTTTTTTAGATTCATCCACCCTATATCCCAATTAATTTGAAATGAAAGTCTCGTGCGTTGATATTGATGTGAATATTAAAATCAATGGGATAATATTATAAAAAAATTAATAAAATTATATTAGTTGACCTTTTAAAATCATATTCAATCTAATTAAAGAAACTTATGCTTACATATATATTTCTTGAGATGTTTTTTGTTATTTATATTTTGTATAATGTAACGCTATGGAAATATCAGTCACCTAACGCGCTAATATGACCGTCGTCTGTGGGAATATTAGTATTGACATTAGTATTCAAACATACGTTGATCTATAAAATTAGTATTAACATTCATGATTTTAAATGATTATTATTCATGTGATGTAAAAGAAAACCTTTGCAGAAAAGTAACTTTTTTTATGACAGTATTTTGTATTAATCAGAAAAACACAAGAATATTATATTAAACTTTTATTTAAATATTCCAACATATTTTAAATTGCTACTAAAACCAAATAATTAAATTGCTTGAATATTATTATTAGTATAGATGAATAATATACTGATACTGGAGAAAATCATTATGTAGCATTTAAATAAAGATATTTATCACCTAATATGCTAAAACATAGAATTTCCCCTTATATTTTATTTAAAAAAATGAAGAAAAAAAACAAAGAAGAAAATGGTGACACATTCCATCTAAATATCTCGTTCAAAAAGTGAATTATTGCGGCGACCACATTCAACACCACCGTCCACGTATAAATGCCATAATTACAGGTGACATTACCACCACCAGCTCTTCTATCGATGAAAAAACATAAATGTGGAGTTTCGGGTATTTGACTATTGCAAAAACAATTTTTCATATTTTATGAAAATTCAAATTTTATATTGTGATTCTTCAATTTATCTATAATTTTTTTTTTCATTTTAATAAATGTGGAGCTTATCATTAGTTAAGTCACACCATAATAATTGAATTCTCATCCAACATGAGAAAATCAAACTCTTTTAACTATTGTGTCCTTTTTTATCAAAATAAATATCATTTTGTTTATGTTTCAAAATATTTTATTTACTTGTCCCTATTTGACTATTGATCACGAAATATATTTGAGTACATATTCAAATATTCTAGTATAACAATAAATACTTGAGGACACGAGTCTTTATTAAATAAATATTCAATATCTGATTTTTTTTTTTAATATTTACTCAAGTATATGGGCATGTACTCGAAGATATTACGCAAAAAATTTCTTTCAGAATTTTCAGTGTGTAGCTCTCAAAAAGTTATATGGAATAAAATAAAACACCTTACTCAGACAATCAAACCAAAAGTTATGGCCTTCAAAAATTTTACTCAACAATTTTCAAAATTTTGTAATGTCAAATATGTTTTGTGATATCCACAAAACTCCTTATTAGATTATCCAAGTCAAATCCAATATTACGAGTATACGACTATAAAAACTTGTTTGATCAATTTTTTTAACTCATTTGTTAGTGTTGAAAAGTAAAAAATTATGGTTAAATTTTTGTTCACGAGATTTTTTGGATCAAGCAAGTTTTTAAAGTTATTTACTCAAAATATTGAACTTGACTTGAGTAACGTGAGAAGGAGTTTTGCGGGTATTACAAAACCTATTGGCATTACAAAATTTTGAAAACTTGAGAGTAAAATTTCGGAATACCATAACTTTTGACTCAAGTGTCTGAATCAAGTGATTTTTTTATTCCATATAACTTTTAGAGAGCTACGCGTTGGAAAATTCTAGTAGAAAATTTTCGCGCAACATACTTGAGTACCCATCATATACTCGAGTATATTGCGTGGAACATCAAATACTCGAGTATTTAGGTCATATACTCGAGTATAAACTCATGACACTTGATTTACTCGAGTATAAAGTTATATACTCCAATATATGACTCGGTCAACGATCAAATTTGGACAAATTGATGTATAGTTTTGGGACGAGAGCAAAGTGGTAATTTTTAAATTAAAAAGGACAAAATGGTCAAATAGCCAAGGGTTTCTTATATAGTATATATAAAGTTATAAAAAATATATATTAACAAAATTAATTTTGTTATTTAGTTGAGCTTAACTTGAAAACTAACGTAAGCTATAAATCTTTGTGATTTATCAGATATTATTAATCAGATTTATATATTGCCCAAATAAAAACGTAACAGAAAAACTATAAATATGAAATAAGGTTTCAACTGACGCTTTTTATTTTAGTAGAGACAATTAAATTGGTGAAAATATAAACATATGAGAAGACATTGTTGTTTCCATTCTTTTTCCAATGCTAACTCCAATATTATAAAAAAATGGCAAAATTTTATAAAAGAGGACATACAGTGACCAGATAATAAATTAAATTTATTTCGAATGGCGCTATGTAATTTTTAAAAGCAATAGATGGAGTGTAACTTCTTTTTGAAAAAAGAAAAAAAGAAGACGCCATCTAATGTAACTTCTTTTTGCAAATTTAGCTATTTCGTATATATTGTACATACGCAGTCAAATTCAATATACATTTCAATTTATGTGTAGATTCAAAAAACGAGTAATTTATTAACTACTCTATATCTTATTTTTAAAGTTTAATTTATCTTTAAATATGTTCATTAAATGAAATAAAAATAATAAAGAACTAAGTAACTTAATTTAATTATTTTCAGATTTAATATCGTTTTAATTTTTTGTATAATAACCTTAAAAACTTATGAAAAACTATACCATAGGTATCCTTTTAAATAAATTCCCCATCAAAACTGATAACAAAATTTAATAATGAGATAAATTACACTAATGAAAAAGTTAATAAAAATAAATTATGCAATTTCTGAGCATATAAGATTAGTAGGCATAATATATAACTTACGCTACTAAATACAAAATTAAGTAACACATCTTCCTTTATTAAAGTCTTCATAATCCACACATTATGTTGTCATAGACAAAATGTACCCCAAAACCTAAAAAAACTTGATGTAAATAACTTTATCTAAGTTTACCCCTATGTGAAATAAGATATGAAGTCTCCACGCGAGCATTGTTTAAGTTACATGCCCTCTTACTTTCATAAACACAATCGCCTTAACCGTCTATATCAACCACTTGGCTACCAGGAGGTTATAAAAAAGACTTACTATTTTCCAAAAAGGCTTATTAAATGAAGAACAATAATAATCTATGCTCGACAGAACTTTAAACAATATTAAGACTGCACCTCGAAAATGGAAGGAAAACATAGCCCAGAAGCTAATCTAAGAAGCATAATCTACCTTATTTATCCTGGCATAGGAAAACCAACAAAAATGAAGAGGTAATAGCCAGCAATTCTGATTTTTAAATACATCATGAGTAAATGAGGCAGAACAATATTTCAAGGACAACAATGAGTAATAATTTTCAGAAGCCACGACCCTTAATGGATGATGCATACTATAAACGGGATCACGTAACAAAAACTGCTGGTATGTAGAGATATCATACATCTGTCTACCACACATTGTTGCTATCAAACCCAAAAGCCATCTCTCAAATTCTCAATCAGGAATTTGCTCATAGCCCCCATTCTCAGGAGAATGGTGTGCCCCATGACCTGTTCTTCCTGCACAAAGGAAACCTCACTTCAGTCACTCTCTTACACCATAAGATAAGAAGAGGTTTCACCAAAAAGCACTGGAGTTCATATTCATACCTGTTAGCTCAAAGCCAGCATTTCTTGAATCCTGATGACTCCCCCAGTCTGTGGACCGGGGAGGCGTCACATGCAAACCAAGTTGCTGAATCATGAAATGACTTCCCCCTATATCTTGATGCTCATCATTGCCCCGGATTGGATTCCCGCTGGAAGAGTCAACTGTTTGGCGGAAACCTAAACTCGATGGTGATTCGCCAACTGGCGATGGCAACTTGCTGGCAGAGGCATCACCTTTTACACCAGCACCACTATCCTTCTTGGTGTCAATAAAAAATGTACCAACGATGACCTGTGTGGATTAACTATTAATCAAAGTGACTTCATGCTGTAATTCATATCAGGCTGTGCTTGGTAGGGCGCTTGGTAAGAGTGATTTCGGGAAGGATAAAAATAAAATAGTGAAATTTAACCATACATATGAATATAAAGTAAGTCTACATGAATGTCTGATTTTCATTCAGCCATTTACACCTCTTAATTTTACTCTTACCGAGAACAACTCTAGATGCCCACCTCCACTCCCCTCTTTCTTTATAGGAAAATATTTATGTAGTAAATGTAGAATCACATTTTTGTTCTGCTATGACAAGGCCAAAATAGAATCACAGGATCGTTTAATGCTCATCAAGGTAAGTTCTTAATCTAAAACTTTCTCCCCAACCCCTTTTGTTCTGGAGCATCTGTTTGCTAACTCACAACACTGATAATGTTCGTACTGATCAAGACAAAAAAAAATATGATGTAGGACGTGGTTGATATCTCCCACCTACAAGTTCATCCACAGTTCTTTCTGAAATTACCTGAACTGGACCAGCCGCTTTAAGGGGCCCACCAACTCCACCACCTATGATTTGACCATCAGTATTAGATAGGCATACACTGAGACCACCAGTTCGGCCTCCAAGTTCGTTACGGACATAGGAACCAGTTAGTGAAATAATCTCAAATCGACCCTGACACCAAAGCAAGAAAAAGTTAATCTGTGACAACTGCAATATGAGCACAAGACTACGTCAAATATGAAAATGCAAATTCGTAGGACTCGCTCTAAAGGAAAAAAAATAATAGAAGTTTATAATTTAATTTGCCACGTTTTCATTAATTCAGTGATAAAACAGGAAAATAACATTACGTCTGCTTGGGACTAACTTTAATTGAGCAGTCATAATATAATATAGACACAGTTTTCATAAAGGTTCCTCTTACTATCTGTGCTCTGACGGAAAAGTGAAGATCAATTTTCTTATAAGTGGGTGCAAGACATATCTACAGAAAATGAAATTATTTTGTTTAAGCCTCCAACTTATATGTCCAACGTTGACCATCAGATAAATTTGTCCCGAACTGTTGAGTTTACAAAAACTAGACATAGGTACGCACACACATGTATGCATAAAATTAAAGAGATGGAGAGAATATAGGATGAGAGAAAAATAAAAAATATGGAGTGAGAAAATTAGTTTTTGTTATTAAATAATATTTTTGATATTAATATTTCTAATCAAATGTTTTTTGCTTAGAATATTTGAGCAACATGTGGATGCAGAAGGGACTATTTTAGACCTTTATGGGGAAAGATAAAACCTTGGTCTCTTAATTACTAGTAGAGATAAATTCCAATTTGATAATTTTAATTACCTTATTTGATGACAAGAGAAAATCTTAAATAAAATGATAAAATCAAAAATAATATAAACAAGATTTTGAGCCTTGGTTATCTTAGTACTTATATAGAGTAGATTTTGATCCAAAGTTGCAATTTTCAACAGTTCCATTTCCTTTTGAAGATCGTTTGAAGAACAGGGATCAGAATATAACATAAAAGACATGATAAAAAACAGTAATTAATATTTACCTCATACGTAATGTTGCCTCCTGAGGTTGCTGGCTGACGAAGAGAGGCATTAGAGATGGAACCAGATGCAGACAAAATGCACATCTCACGCCTACTTTGTTGCATAAATAACATAATTTTCTGGCCAACATCCTATTGAATGCATGCTAAAATAATTATAGAAGCAACACATACACTGAAGAAAGCTGAAAATAAAACTGGGCAAATGACAAACATAATATATTCAAACATCATGGATGGAGGAAAATTCAAATTAGATAAAGAAGAGAATAAAGATCCTAAACCATTCAGAAAAATACATAAAAGCATATTTCATTGAAATAAATTATGTTATGTGTGGAGATGCAGAAAATAAATCAAGAGAAATTACTTCGACCCTAACAGTTCACATATCATTCTCTCACAGGTTAGCTATAACTATTTGTTATGCACACCCATCATGCCTCATCTCGATCCATTATAGGCACCCTTAGGTAGGTGCAGCCTGGTGAACTTCACCAAGAAACCAGGTGTGACTAGTGTCCCCTAAAAGACATTATTCCTGAATTGTAGTAGAGTGCTACCTCCACAACCCCCCCCACAAAACAAATAACACAAACAACACACACAACAACCAAAGACACCATCTCAATTACAAGAGAATTTGTCACATTATTTATCAAATCTATTGAAAACAATATGAAAAAAGTCAATTGTCTCATGAGTCATGGCTGAGCATATGAGTAATCAGTCTCCAAACCTTACACCCCCATATAGGACTAACGAGTGCTGATATGACAATTTTTTTTTTTTTTGGGGGGGGGGGGGGGGGGGGGGGGGGGAGAGCATATAGGAGTCAATAGTTGAATTTTCCAATTCTAAAGAAGGCCAGCAAATTTATATTTGTAGGATAGTAGAAAATTATATGCACGACTTGGTAGGTATCTATTTGCAGTATGGACTGTCCGGCTGTTTAGTAGGTTTAGTAGATATGGCTAGATATATATATATATATATATATATATATATATATATATATATAAGCTAAACATTTGGGACTGTGATTGTGTCTGCATGTGAACACAGGTCACCATACTCACCAGTTGCTGCAAGCAGAGGCAGAAATTTAAAATCAACAAACAATATTCAAGGACTGAATAATGCATACCTCACCAGCAGCAACAGCAATGACATGTGGAGTGAAGCCTTGTCCTGCATTGCCTGCATCACCCCATTGGCAGCAGAAGCATCAAAATAAAATTCAGGAATCTATCACGCACTTAAAACCTTTCGTTTTGTTAATTTCTAACATGGCGTCAGAAACATAAACTCAAGCTAACAGAAACGGTTAAGTAAGCATGATAGTTTATATAACTAAGAAACAATTTCAGACTTCTAAGAAATGTTATACTTGCACCCTCTAATTCTCGGGGAAAATATCTAAGGGAAACAAGTGAATGTCAATTGTTTTGGAATTTTCATCAATTTTGCACCATTGATGGCATGTGTACTTTGTTGATAAAAGTAGTAAGAAGCAGCAAATCTTGAAACTAAATAACTGGAATTTCCCACAAGTGATAAAAAACATAGGTTCATCAATTCAGTCTAATAAACCACCGTGCCAATGGAAAAAGGCACAATCTGACTGTGCAAATGAAAATGAAAAACTAAGACTCAACACATATGATGAACTGAATTCTAATAAATGCCACTGCAAACAAAGAAGCTTTCTAACATATGGATTCCACTATATTCCATTCCATCAGTAAGCATTAAACCAGCGAACAGATCCTGTGTAAGACATGACATTATGTTCTTAATTAAAAGTCACACGGCATTCAACTTTCATCAACTCCTATTCATGTTTTCCTTCCCTAATTTGAAGCTAGCACTATTTAGCGGGCATATTAACTCCTGTTAATGAACCACTTATGTGCAAGTAAACACACACCCCAGAACCAAAATGAATCATAAAGAGTCGGCTTAAGGATGAAGCCAACATAGGATTTATTATTTTTATTCATTTCTCACTACTTTACTGAATATATTATTTTATGCTAGTGGCTCAAACATAAAACCATTGGAGAGTGTGTTCTGCCCGTTGTGGAGTGTCCAACTAGTCTTAAGCAGAACTTAAAACTTATTGGAGAGTAATAACAAAAAAAAAAATTATTGGATAGTATTCAGAGAAGAAGAGGGACCTTCAGCAACAAAATTCATAGCACAGCACGAAATGCACAAAGAGATAAACAAGGACCAACGCCAATTAAATTAATAAACAGAAAAAAAGAGAAAGTTCTAAACTTGAAAACAATGTTTTTGGAGATGTACATAAAATATTGAACAGACAGCAAAAAGGGGCTAAAAATTGAAAATTTAGAAGAAAGGCAAGCGACCCAAGTGGTTGAGAAGTGGCATAAAAATAAAATAAAAAATGAGAATAGAAACCCTCGAAATAGGGAAGAAAAAAAAGAGGGTGGAGAAGAAAACAAACCTATAGCAAAGGAATGAGATTTCTTGGAAGTGGTGGTGGTGCTGTAAGGAGAGGAAGAGAAGGAAGATTGTGGCGGCTTCTTGTCCCTGGGGCTAGCGGAGAACGACTGAGACGACGACGTAGCAGCTTTCTTCGCAGCGAGAGCTTGTTCCGGTGTGCCGTACTTCCTCGGTCTCCCTCTCTTCCTCTTCGCCGGTTCCAGCTGCGACGACACCGCAGATGCAACCGAATGAGGGTACAGTATGTGGGACCCATCCGTGTTCGACAACAAACCATTCGTTGGCAACGCGGTTGTTGTCGGGCCAGTAACGTTGGTGGTCGTGGCTGTGCTCTGCTGTTGCTGGTGGAGCTGCTGGTGTTGGTGTTGGTGTTGGTGATGGTGATGGTGGAAGTAGGAGTTGAATTGGTTGTCGTTAGGTTCCATTTTTGAGTAGAAAGGAGAAGAAAGATGTGTGCTGCCAGGGCAGGCACTGCAATTTTTTTTATTTTTTATTTTTATTTTTTATTTTTTATTTTATTTTTAAATTGTTTTCTAATCAACAAAATAGACTTTATCGGTATTATCTTGCAACAATTTTTTTTTTTATTTAGTGTTTTAGTTAGTCTCTAATTTTCTTTTTCTTTTTTTTCTCTCTTTATCAGACGTGGATATTTGTATGGGTGACAAGCAATTAGTGAAAATTGACTCGGTGATTCACGCGCTTTGACATTGACATAATGACAGCCAAAGATATAAACCGATAAGGGCTTCGCTTCATGGTCGCTTGGCCTACCTTTTTGTTTTTATTGGGTTGGGCTCAGATTCCATATAGATATCCAATGCCCAATTTACACGCATTTCGCTTTTTCCATTTTCCATACCTTTTTTTCCTTTTTAAGAAATAACTTTCTAAGTAATTTCCGAAATTCTATCTTATCCAATAGAGCTACGACCAAATACTGATAGCTCAATTGGCGCATGGGAACTGAGCAGGTAAATGTGAGAGTATGTGTTCGATCTTCTCCAGTACCACCTTTAAAAGGGTTTAAAGCCTTAACCCTGAATTCGCCCCGACTCAAACTAGTCGCGAAGCGATGAATCGATTAAAATATTTCCAAAAAATCAAACAGGGCTACGTAGAAGCTCAATTACGGATTAACTATAAATTTTAATCGTTTAAATTATTTCTAAAACATTACTACAAATTTAAACAAGAGTAAATACCCTTTTGTCATTAACAAAAAAACACGGTCTCCCATTTTAGTCCTTTACAAAAAAACAGGAGAAACGGGAACAGGGATCTTCCCCCCCCTCCCTTTCCGCCCGATTCTTTGGTCTTAAGAATGAGTGATTGCCCTTCTCCGACCCTTACTGTCCAATCTGAGAGCGGATAGCTGATGCGTTCCGCTTTTTGTTTTTGAACAGGGTTATAATTAGTCTGAAAGTCTCTAAAAAATTCAAAGTAGACACATTTAATTGAAATCATGGTCCCTCACAAATTCAAAAATAAGCCACATTAATCCCTCAAAAGGACTAAAATAGATCCACTTTGAATTTCTTAGGAATCAACCAACTAATTTTTTTTTGTAAAGGATTAAAGTGAAGATCGTGTTTTTTTGTAAAAAAAAAAAAGTATTTACTCTTTAAACAAAAATTCAATTTCATTTTTTCGTTTGTATTTTTCCCAATTAATTAACTCCTAATGAGTGCCAGGATATTATTTGTTTTCATTTCAGGAAAATGAAACATGAGACTAATCGTCAATGATGCACGGACACGGACACGGAACACGACACGCCGACACATTAATTCTAAAAAATGTCATATTTCGACACATTAGGACACGTTTTGATATTAAATAAAAATTTTAATATATAATTTAGGTTAAAATGCAAAATACCCCCTTGAACTTTGGTCATGTTTTAAATTACTACTTTAAACTTTCAATTGTTTCAATTAACCACCTTGTACTTTGTTACATTAACAAATTAACATATCTGTTAAAATTTGACTAAGAGTGTTAATCTTAAATCCTTAATTTTATTCTCTTTCCTTATTTGCATTCCATACTCTTGTGTAGAGTTTTTCTTCCACTCTTCTACATTCAAATTTTTCATTATGGTCCAATATCCCGCTCTCAAGCAAGTTTTGTTTTATTGATTCATAATCATAAACGTTAATCGTATTCATATTCTCCACCATATCTAATTGCCCCTTTTTTAATCATATTTGCATGCTTGGCTACCATTTATTTTCTTTGTGTAATGCAAAAATGTTGCAGCATAACACAATCATGATTGACAGTGCCCAAAAGTGGCTTGTGGCATTCCTACTTGGCTTCCTTATGCTCTCTGTCACTGAAACCTCTGCATCTGTGTTCGACAACGTTAGCTGCACAAGCAACAAGACTTAATTGAAGGGGTGTATTGATGTTATAAACTCGAATCCAGCAGTGGATCTGATAAGAAACTCTTCTAGATTATTCTCTGGTATGATTGTTTTAATTGTCTAAATTACTTGGCATCCTTTATTGTATGGTTTTCTATTCCATTGCCTTCTTGCTGGAGGGAGAGGAGGACCACCCCTTGATTGGGAGCGGGATATTGGATCATGATGAAAATTCAGCAATTGTCATTCCCTGAGATTTTGTTCCCGAGAAGGGGTGCTTCCTTGAGAATCTGTTCAATTGTTAAAAAATAAAATAATAAAAATAACATCGTTAGACAAAATTTTAACAGAAATGTTAATTTGTTATCATCATAAACTATGAGGGGTTAATTGAAACAATTAAAAGTATAAGGTGATAATTTGAAATATGACCAAAGTTTAAGGGGGTAAGTTGTATTTTAGCCTATAATTTATATGTAATACATATAAGAATCCATAATAAGTCATATAACCAATCAAATATTTAAATTTCATAACATAAATATAAATATAAATAATTTTTCGTACTTTGTTAAATTTTCATATCAAATTTCATAACAGGCAAAAATTAATTTATAAATTTTCTTTTATATTTAGTTAACAAAATAAAATTAAGATTAAAAAAAAAAAACGTATCTGAACGTTGTCCGCGTTTCTGAAAAAGTTGACCGCGTGTCCGAACGTGTCAGAGTGTGTCCGTGTCGGACACATGTCCGACATGCAAATTTTTTTTCAAACGCCGTGTCCATGCTTTGAAGCTAACCGTCACACAAATATTAACTTCATAATTTGAAAACGCCAATATTAAATATTAATAATATTAGTTTATGGAACAGATTATATTTACAATTTTTTTTTTTACAAACTATATTATCTTCTCCCAGAACACCCGAAAAAAGATAGTGTAATTTGTAGAAATTTGTAAACTAATTCTTCCCCTTAGTTTATATAAAAAGGACCTTTTGAATGGAATGGTATCGCCTAAATAGCAACAATTATCGATAATCGCAAGAACGGAGGCAGTAGCAACTCTTTTAACATTGATGTAAGGATATCTAAATTAATTTTTTTTTTTTTGGTGTGGATCTAAATTAATTTTATTTGAAATTAATCTATCAGTTCACATAAAATTAAAAAAAAAAAATTTAGAATAAGTGGTTAACGAGTGAAAATCAATTAATATAATAAACTTTATAAATAATAAAACTAACAGATATTTAGATGAGGACTGTGGCCTGTGGGACTACCCAACCTTGCTTTCAATTAGCTAAAATATCAATTGATTTCACCTTTTTTTTTCTAGTTGAAAAATGTTAGAGAAATATATAAATCATTAATTAACCTTCACCTAACAGCTTAAATTTTAGGTTAAAATGGTTCTTTACATGATATCAAAGCCTCATGTCTCAGGTTCGATTATCACCGTCCCCATTTAATTAATAAAAAAGTGGAATTTGGTTTGTTGTGAAATTACAAGTTACAACATAACCCAGCACAGACAAGAAAATGAATAAACCAAAATCAATTAAGAGTCATCGCCCAAAAAGAAGAAACAAGAAAAGGAAAGCATCAGAAAAATTGCAAACCAGGTTAAATACACCTGCATGGCTGCATGGAACCCCAGAATCCCAAGAATTGTATGTTTTGACGCAGAAGCTTTAGAGACCATCTTTAGGAGATTCACTGTCAATTGCTTCATTGGTAGATGCCATTGCCAAGGCATGTGAGCTTTTCATTTCTTCTAACTGTCAAGCAGTATAGGAAATAGTGATTTGATAAACCCTAAGATCAGTCAACCAGGAAAAATAAAAAAACGACTAACTCAACAGAATCAATGAACATTTGAATTGCAGATACCACGGACCAGAATTACCAAATAACCAATTAGAAAGTTCACATATTTTAAGAATATATCCAAAGACAGGCAAGATTTTGGAGAATCATTTGCATTCATTTCAGTGGTATATATGGGAACCCACAATGATTAACCTACCATATTTCTCAAATCCTTATAAATGTCAACTTTCCAGCATGTAATATATATATATATATATATATATATATATATATATATATATGAGGCAGCTTATTTTTATATTGGTATAAGAATAAAAAATCTTACACTAAATCTTAGTCATTGATTTGCTTGCATCCAACAGTTCAAATATCTAATAAATCAGAACAGTTGGATATAAATAACATCAACGATCAAGACTGAGAGTGAAACTTAAACCAATGTAAAATAATCCTGACCCCATATATATTATACCGGGAGGATCATCTAATACTAGTGCAAGCTATACTCTCCATCATAGTAGTTGATCCACTTGTATCTAAAGACTTCCATGAATAATAAATTTTATATATAGAAAATCAAGGCCTCGTGGCAAAAATAGAAAGGTAAAAGTGCGTATAAGAATTTCCCTCATCTCTACCCTTACAAGTCAAGGTTTCATGAAAAGTGGAAAGGTTTTGTGATCACAGAACTGTTAAGTCCCCAATCTCTTTCCTTTCTATGCAAGTAAAGTTAACTGCGAAGCTCAACTTCACGGTTCATAGATCTTTCTTAATCCCATTTCCCCCTATCTTTCTTTCCCTCATTAACTTCTAATGCCCTTAAACATAGCCGAGTTCCCTAACCACACAAGACATTAAGCCATCACAGCCAACATTACAAGTCCATATTCTTGTTGGTAATCAAAGATCCCACTTTTATCACAGTCCCTTCCATCTTGAATCCCAATATCCCAGCTTTTACAACCCCAGCAAAATATGATCAGAATTAACTTATAGTTAGCAGATACAACACCCATAATAATTTCATCATGATAAATATTATTTTTATAAACTCCGAAGAATTTCAATTTCAACAACAAATAATAATAAAGAACCTCTTTGCAGGTATTCTGGTGCGCTGTGAAAAGCTCATTATATTTAATTTGTAGATCAGAGAATTCAGCTTGCAATTTTTCATATTCTGAGATGGAGGGACAGCTTAATTTCTGTTGAATGAACCTGCGAAAAGAAAGAAGCTTGTCTGTGACACGTTACACATGGTCGCATCACAAGTAAAATAATATGAATTGAACAGAACATACTCAAGTGCAGAAGAAGGCTTGTCGTTTTGCTCGTATAAAGCAACAAAAACTACAACACCAACAAACAAACTTTGATTCATTCATTAATTAAGGAATTAATAGCATAGAAGGATAAAGCAAATGCGATACCTTTGGTGAGAGCGTCCACAGCTCCACTTGATTCCAGATATTTTCTAAAAGCTTCCTTTTTGGCTTCTTTTTCCTACACATTCAAATAAAATAAATAAATTGTAATATGTGAGGGACAATCAGATTCATGAACTAAAGAAAGAGAGACTAGAAGTTATAACCTCTTTGTATCGCATCATCATCTGTTCTTCTTCGCACCTCTGTTTCTGTTCTTTGCTTTGCTTTGTTTCCGATATGTGTCTGTCTGGTGATCTGTCTCTGCAAGGCAACTAATCTTTTAATTTTTTATTTTATTCTATCATATATCTACCTTCCTTGATTGCCTTTATTTACCGTTTTTTTTTTTTTTTTTGGTAAACACCTGTTTTTTATTTTAGCTTTAGGTTGTTTTTGCTACTAAAGCTTTATATTTTTTTCATTTAGTGTTTTTTAATATTTAGTCCCACACCACTTTTCTATTCCGTTAGCTCTATCCCCTTCTACTTGACTAAAAGAAGAAAAAAAGAACTAAGAAGAATAATATTTAAGTGCATGTTTGATTTTGATTCATTAAGAGGAATTTTTTTAATTTTAATAAAATTTTAACTAATTTATTTTAGGGATCTATTAATCTCATGTTGCATGAGATAATTATTTTATGCAACAGAGACAAGATAGTGGGGTCCACTATTTTTTCAAAAAAAAAGAAAAAAAAATAGTGAACTCCACTATTTTGTCTCTGTTGCATGAGATAATTATCTCATACAACATGAAATAATTATTTTCCTTTATTTTATATATAAAATAAAAATATGATATTATGTCTATTTTTTTCATGTATATGAACCTAGTTCTCTCCATGTCATTAGATTAGAGTCTCAACCAACAAAGAGAAAAAGACAAAAAAATTAATATTGTAATCTAATAATATAAAGAGAAGTAGGTAAAGTAAATATAAAAAAAAATAGGTATCTAATACTAGGTTTCTATAAAATAAAGAAAAAAATATGTTATTTTATGATAGTGTTTTACTTAATGTTTAAATTAAATTTTTTTCATTAATAACCTCCAATTCTCCCACCAAATCTTCATAGTGGGATAAGTTTTTCTCACCATAAAATGCACATAATATTTTATCCTTATACTTTTTCCTAAAATAAATCACTCCAAATACATACTAACACTTAAAATTCAAGAATAACAAAGTTTAAAAATAGAATAAAATAATGCAGAGAATAACATTTCCCCAAAACACCAGGAAGAACCAAAACATCAGCGGCAAAAGAAAATGATTTTCTGTCAACCAAATAAGGATTCACTTCCACCCCAAATTTTTAAAAAAATTTAGGCTGAAAAATAGTAATAATAATAATTTAGGTGAATATTATAAGGGAAAAGTGTGTATGTGTCATTTTAAGTGAGAGAAAGAGATAGATAAAGAGAGAGTGGACAAAAAAATATAAATGTGTAGGTCCCACCTCTTTGTGAGAGTGAAAGGATATAAATTATATCATTTAAAAGAATAAACATTTTTCTCGTATTATAAATTCAAATTGTGACCCATCAGGCCATCAAGATAACCCTTTAATATATAAACAACTTTCATATTATCATTCTCCTTACCACGCCACTAGTTTGTTGTTTATTTTTTCCTCTTTATTTCTTCCATCTAATATGCCAAAAGAAAATTTATACTTTATTTACGGTGTTCTTTTCTCAAAAATTATAAGATGGCTAATTGCAATAGGATTACAAGTTTACAACATATCAAAATCAAGCAAATGCTTTTGCATTACTATTTTGACCACTGGAATGCTAAGAAAGAAAGAAAAAAAAATACCAGAATGAGAGTTTTTTAAGTGTGAGAAAGGCAGAGTAATATTGTCACACATTGATACACATTCTCTGAATTCATGGATTTCACTATTTATTATTAGGGTTATGTTTATCTCATTTTACATGAGATAAACATCTTTCCTACACACACAAAAAGGGTTTGGGTCCCACCACTTTTTTTTTCTCTCTCCTCTTACATGTGGGTCCCACTTATACTTTTATTTCTACAACATGAGGTAATTCTTTTCCTACAACATAAGAAAAATATATCCCTTATTATTATTGCACCCACCTGCTACAACTGAAGAGTTCGCCATTCTTCGACAATGGTGTATGAAAGCAGCATTCACGAAACACACTACCATCTATGCCTAGGGTCTTTTTTACTTCTATATTTTTGTAATTCTGAAATAGGTTGCACCAAAGAGAGCACCTATTAGGGAGTCCCGAAAGAAGCAAAACTATCTTTCATTTTCGGGATCCAAATGAGGACATGTTTTTTTAACAATAATATAAATCGAATATCATTGATTGTGAATCAGATCCAGTATATAACAGTGGCATCCTCAATAAATTAGAAAGTCCTCGAGTATTTCCTAATTTCATACATGATTGAAGATATGGAAACAAGATCCTTGTTCAATGCAGACCCACCAGGGATCCTCTTAATGCAATCCGAGAGTCTCGTATAATAAAGTAACAATTGAGTCAACGCAGCCCTTAAGATCTCCATGCCACACAAGAAGTTGCTGAAAGAAGTGATGACATCTTTGTGCATCAGCTCTATTGCAGCCTTCCACCTACTCGCAAAATCCTTTACTAGTGGCTCAACTTCGGCCACAGTTATAGGCTTATCCGGACTCGATGTTGGGTCCTCGGCTGATAAATTACATGCAATCAAGCCCATATTTTTCAGAATATAGAACACAGACAATATTTTACCATAGTCTCATTTTTATGATACTTACAGGCTTTGGCCCTTACAAACATGATTAAATCATTGAAATGCTCTTGAAGCAGTTCTTCCTGCAAGGAAAGAAGAGAACCGTAAGGACAACCATAAATGAGAACAAGAGGGAAAGTTATATTTAATTGCCTTGTTTAATCTATAGATACCCCCGTTTCTCCCATATGAAACTCAATGATCTTTCCCCAAGTCGGAGGAGATCAGAGTCATGATTTCTAAAGTTTTACCTGCGTAAATGGTTCTTACTTTTTCTCACAAGTAATATATTGAGTTGTCCGCATGTATTGGACGGAGGAGCCACTCAGCTAGCTTGTCTTATTTGAAAGTCATTATCTTTAGATTAGGACTTAAAACACTACAATTTCTAAAAGAAGGTGGGTCTTAGATGTGAACATCACATGGCAAAAGAAACATGAATGTGAAGAGAGCAACAGAAAAAAATTGATGCACTAATTCCTTCCTGAAACTATCAAACACAAACTTATCCTTACATTGAAACTAGATATACAAGAAATGATTGCAGTTACCACAAATAATGTTGTATTTCTCTTCAGCAGTTCCTCGAAGTGCATAATAATTTTCCCACCTTCAGGACCTGCTTCCTGGAATCAAGCAAGTGGGAAAATTTCAGTGGCCAAAAGTCAAAGGGAGCAACCTATCTGTTTATGGAAATTACATTGCCGTTTAATTAAGGGAAATCCTATTATGTTTCCCCATTCAAATTTAAAGCTGTCTTGTCCATGGTCCAAAGTTATTTTCTTGTCTCACCCTTGACATTTCAATTGATGCAGATATAGCTGTACTTGAAATTTAGAGTTATTTTACAGATTCCTACCTTCAGAACAGTAATTGTCATATCGTAATTGTTTATAAGAAACATTGTTTGTAATTTTGGTTTCAGGAAGTTCTTCGCAAGCTTGATAAGTACGTCATCAACAGCCATTCTAAGTCGTTCTAAATTCAAATCAAGCTGCAATTAATCACAAGATAGATTATATTAGAAATTTACGAAAGAAAACTGGATGACTCTCATTTTTATCATACTGACCTGGCCATCTCCACACTCAACGTTTAAGTGGATAAGCGAAGCAGTAAACTCTGCATAACGCCTTATGACATAGTGAGGATGAACATCATCCTCCCATAATGTCTTCACATTTGCGTTTAACAGGCTGTTGAGGTGCATGTCAAATACCATTTTAAACCGAGGCCATAGGGAAATATTGACCTGCCCAAATTAAGAATTAGCCTCATCAAGGATCAACAGTAGTAAACTATATATGATATACAAGTACATTATCTTACTGGCATTATCCCTAAAAGCCATCAATATAGCAGGTCCATATAAATCCAAAGATGAATTTCAACTATGAGCAAGTAGCAAGTGAGAGGGTTATAAGAGAACCAAGAATGTGTACATAAATAAAAGAGGTAATAAAGACCACAGACTATGAAGGAAGGTGAAGGAGAGGAAGGAGGGGGGGGGGGGGGGGGGGGGGGGGGATGCATAGACTCAGACAAGCGTAAAATGAGCATGCTCGATACTCTGCTTCACAACATTTGCCAAATAAAAAATCACATAAATTAGCTATATATTATATAAATTGTGATCAGCATTATACATCAGAAAATGAAGTTGGAGAAACTTGTCAGACTCTAGATTTCCTGTCATCAACCAAATTCAGTCATTCTTTCAAATGTGCAAAGAAAGGGTTAGGAGACATTCTATATATTATATGAAAAGTGTCAATGTACATGATCTCACTGATAACAAGGGGAAAATCTGGTCAGACTTGAGTTTTCCTGTCATCACCCAACGTCAATCACTTTTCCCTTTTCCTCTTTTCCCTATGTTATTATTTTAACGAGAATTTTTCAACTGAGTAAAAATGGAGCTAGACACATCACCCAATGCATGTACTAAATCTACTCTGAACATCCAAGTCCAATCAGCTAACTATATGGTTTCCCAGTATAAGCACACTCAAGAAAGGAATTATTTCGTCTAAATGAGTATATATAGATAGCATAGTAAACTAACCTTGTCAAAATAAGAATCCAAGCATGGAATCCGCCTCCGAGATATGATGATCTGAAATGAAAAAAGTACGTCTGTTACAAGTTAATTTTAAAAGTGAACCATCTCTAAATGCACTAGGTACACTAGCTGAGAGATGCAGCAGAGATATACAAATGAAAATTCTTTAAATTATAATTGCAATTTATTCTGCTGTTTGCTCAATATACATATGCATTATGTATTGCAAAAGTATAAGACCAGAGATTCATCAATATTTTCACGATGTTGCATGGATCATTCAGATCCTTGGGAAAAAAAATTGAAAAAAAAAAAATGTTACGGAGAAGAATTGTAATTCAGGGGGTAAAAGGGTCTGGAAAGTATATTCGCGTGGAAAGAAAAAACATAGTTAGTTAGAAGTCAGTATCGTTTGGTCAGAGTAGTTATTTTGGGTGTTAG